ATATCTGGGGCCATGCTTGTTCAGGCAGACAATTGTATCCACTGGTAAAGTTGAACTGTTTCGTTCTGTTGTTCATCTTGTTTTGGGAGAAAAGTTAATCAAAAGTGTTTGTGTGTGTTTTTAAAGTAATAATGTTTAGATAGATTCTGGTATTCTTTAGCAGGGGCAAACGGTGACAATTAAGGAAATATGCACACTAACACTAGTCTCACCATGCATAATGGACTACCCTACACCCGTAAAGCAAATTATTATCTACTTTTCACAGATGCATACGGCATTGTAGATTCAAATCGCACAGTAGAGAAAGAGAACATATAGCAATATTTTTCATGGGAAGTGTCTCCAGATCCATGGATTTTCATGAGCAAAGGTCCCAGATTCAAAGTGCAGAATCTCCCATGAAAAGATGTTAGGTTTTAGGGCCTCTGCAGAACTATTGCCAGTTAGAACTGCCAATACTGGGGGATAATGACAAATGGCTTGAACTGAGACAAGACCATTTCCTGCATTTGATGATCCATTTAGCTATCTTAACTCTACTAACCACAGGCAATTCCGCTTAATAGCATGCTGGGCTTACAGAGCGGCAGAAGCGCCTGGGTTTCTTCTGGAGATCGCTTCCCTCTTGGCTTCTTCACCTGCAAAGGGGCAGGTGTGTACAATGAAAAAGGTTGAAAATCCGTATCTTTGTAACCCTGACCCTAATGGTTGAAGTAAAATGAAAAAGACAAGCCAATTTTTAAACTCATTTTTCCCTTATAAATTTATTCAAACCATTTGTTCTCCCATCCCAGGGCTGTTTATTTATTATTTATTTTTATTGATTTAAAGTTTTTCTATGCCATCCATTACTAAAAAAAAAAAAAAAAAAAGTCTCTGGACGGCTTACAAGGAACAAAAACCATAACAGCAACAACTTAACTTTACCCTGTCTTTCACTCTCCGGTCTGAGAAGTGACATGAAGGTTACAATTTCGAGCAGAGAAAATGCTGGAATTCAAACTGGAGGTTTGTGTGTACAATCCATTTGTGCAGTTCACAGCAGAATGATGCCATTCCAGTAAAAATAAGCCAAATGAACACACAAAAATGGCACAAGCCTCGAGTTTGCCTAGCCCTGCCCTAAAACACACTCGATTTAAACACGGATGCAACAGTACCCAGCAAATGATGCAGGAAGCCTTCCAGCGAGGCAACGGAGAGGGAATCCAAGTCGCCATCCCAGACGGCACAACCAGTACGTAAGCTGGGATTTTATTTTTCCATCTGCTATCTAAGCGGCATATTGTTCATATATGGTCAAGCAATATTGCCAACGTACAGAGGTTTGCCTGTGATCGCCGAGATTACATTATTAGATATGCTGTCTGCAAATAGCATCTAGTTCTGAAACCTAATCCGCACGCGTCACATCGACAGCCAGCTATCAAACAGTTACATAAAAGACTGGACCTTATGGCGGCTACTACGGCAGAAAGCTCTCTTTGGGGCAGGAAGGGGAAGGTTTCACAATATTCTGGACTGCCAAAGCATTCCTCAAGCATGATCGCATGAAGCCATGCTTGTAATTAAAGTCTGTAGCAGCACAGAACTTCCTTAATGTGGGGATGGCGTAATTTGTGACCCTGCAAGTTCAACTCCATGCACTGCCCCCTTTTTTATGGGTTCCCTGCTGTTCCAAAAGGCAATCCCAATCCCAGTGTTTGATTTTCCCAGGCAGGCAGCAAAAGCAAGCCACCACTGCAACTCCTTCTGATCGGGAGCTCAGGGGTTCAGCGGAGAGACAGTGCTCTGCCAGGGGAGACTGACGTCCGGGGGGAATCCAAACAGGATTGCCTTTGATGACTGTGCTCCCGTGTTTCCACAGGATATGTGTTAAGGGGGAGAGATGCAAGGGCTGCATTGCTTGCGCTAGGAATCCTCCGTCTCAGAAGCACCCACAGGTTCGGAAAGTACTGAAAGGTTGTCACACAGAGGAGGGCCCAGATCTCCTGTCCATCATCCTAGAGCGCAGGACATGGAATAACAGGCTCAAGTGACAGGAAGCCAGGTTCCGGCTGAACATCAGGAAGAGCTGCCTATTAGGGTAACAGCACAATGGAACCAGTTACAAAGGGAGGTTGTGGCCTCTTTCACATGGAAGGCATTCAAGATGCGACTGGACAGCCATCAGAGAGGGATGGTTGAACTTGGAGTCCTTCACTGAGCAGGGGGCTGGACCCCATGGCCTTCTTGGCCCCTTCCAACTCTACTATTCTGTGTTTCTGTTGTAACCAAGGCACAGTTCTAGGCTGGATGAGGCATGTTGGGAGTCGAAAGTCCTTTTGTCTGAACTTTCATAAAATTGTGCTTTAGCTTCCCCATTTGGGGCAGAACGAGCTGCTCAGCACCCCAAGTGGAAAACCCTTTACATTCTCTCCTGCTTCCAGTGCTTCATTCGTCTCCTATCACTCTTTCTCCTCCTTCTTTCACACTTCCACCCTTTCCAGCTTCTTTCATCACTCTCTCCTGTGTTTTCCTCCTACAACGATGTCTTCTCATCGCCTTCTTGTCTATTCACAGCGTTCTTGCTGTTATACTTAATAAAAATACCTTTCTACTTAATATGTTATTTTAATTTCTAAAATGTATAAGCAGACCTTTAGCTGCAAGGAACCCCAGAGTGGCATATAGCCAGTGTGGCGTAGTGGTTAAGAACGTGGGACTGGGACTCAGGCGATCCGGGTTCGAGTCCCCGCTCAGCCATGGAGCCAACTGGGTGCCTTGGGCCAGTCAGACTCTCAGCCCAGCCTACCTCACAGGGGTGTCGTTGTGGGGAGAAGATGGAGGAGAATGATGTAAACTGCCTTGAGCCCTTTGTAGGAAAAAGGCAGGGTATAAATCGGAAAATAAATAAATAAATAAAATACATTATTAGCATAAACAAACAAACCCAATGTAAAATTATACAATTACAAGGTGAATTAAAAACAACAATTACTCATTGGCCAACTATCCAAACAAAACCAGACCAAACAATGACATCTTAAAATACACTACATGGTCAACTACAAAACTATTAATAGATTAAAATGCTTAGGCTAAAAGAAAGGTTTCAGTTCGGAGCCAAAAACTAAAAGTTGCTACCCATCTGCTTTCTTTTGGAGGGGCATTTCAATGCTGGAATGGTACCTTGTGGCTACATAATGTGTAGCTTTCACTGATGATTTCTGGAAAATATCTTAGCGCATAAGCAAGAAGGAAATGATACTTTGGGCGTCTGCCTCCCAAGCCATGTAAGGCTTTGAAGGTGACTATCAACTCCTTGAAACTGGGCTTAGTAATAAGAGAGCGCTAATCTAAGAATTGGTGCAATACGGCAGGGCTGAACTTTGCGCGCTGGAGCTTCCAGACTCTCTGTAAAGACGACCCACCTTTGCTTGGTCGTGTGCAAACAGAACATTGGATGACTCGAAATGCTCATCGCTTGAGAAATTCAGGCTCAGAAAAATGGTGACGTGCAGGGGAGACACACGAAAGAAGTGTATAAAATTATGCATGGGGTGCAGAAAGTAGGTGGGAAGGAAAACTCTCTCATAGTACTTAGGGAATTCCCATGAAGCCAAATGGTGGGAGATTTGGAGAGATGGAGGTTAACTGTTCCACATGGTAGTAACTCAATGTCACACAATGTAGTGAGGACCATCAACTTGACTACGAGTTGCAACAGCTGTGGGCTACCTCCAATATCAGACAACACTGGGAAACACAAGGTGGTGTGTGCAATCGCACTCACACCCTGCTTGGTCACCATGGTAAGGAACGCTGGGAGAAGGGGACCTCCTTTCTGACAGTTCTTACGTCCCCACTTTTGTGGATCCTCATCTTTCAACCTACAATTACTGTTTGGGTCACCATCCTTTCCCTGTTGGCTCAGGTTCTCCTCCTTCGATCACAAAAAAAGCACACACCTCTTTGTCTGCACAACTTTTACAGCGTGGCAAAGTATCAGACCAAGATGGATCGAGAGCGCCACAATTTATAATCCATCAAGCCAAAAGCAGTTTGTAAATCATGCATGGAGCTGGTCATTCGTTAAGGGCCTCCTGCTTTGGCCCAGGACTGCAAAAAGCAGAACTTGTTGGATTCTGGACACATGGTTGGTGAGCTCTGTTTAGCTTAGTACAGGGGAAAGCAACACGTGGCTCTCTCCCACTTCCGGTTGACATCGTGGCAAGACATTTGTGAAGAATGGGGCTCCGTAATTCATGCCGGTAATCCGTTCAACAGGGGGCCAGGAGAGGCCCATCCAAGCCCTGTCGGGGCAGGGACTAGGAGCGCGAGCATGCTTCTGGCTGGTGGGGAGCGGTGGCTCCACATCTGCCGGGAGAAACTTGGGAATTTTCTCAGTCGAACCGGACGGGGGGGGTGCCCCGCCACAAGCCATCGACGCCAGTTTAACAGCGAAGAATAAAAGCTTGAAATACATCGGACCTGCTGGGTGAGCACTTCTGCTTTCTAAAATATTGCCCGTGAAAGAACATGTGAAGCAAGTATCGATCTGAATAAAAAAAGAAAAGCCCTTCTGACCGTTCTTATTATTTATACATCCACACTTGCAGAGGAAATTTATTTATTTATTTAAAACATTTCTATGCTGCCCCCATCGCAACAAAGCCTTGGGGCAGCTCACAAAATTCATAAAAAGATACAATTAATAATTTAAAAACTGGTACCATCTCGGCTATATATATTAAAATCTATAAATACAATAAATTATTATTATTATTATTATTATTATTATTATTATTATTATTATTAAATACAGCCTGTGGGTGGGTCCTGGGGAGGGGGCTAAAACAATTCCCTAACCCCCTAATGGTTCCCTAACCCCACTTCAGTCGTACAAAAGCTGCGCAGGCCTGCTTTGAAATATCCCTCGTGTTTTAGGTTTTTTGCAGCAATACAGATTCAGAGTAAAAGAGTAAAGCAGATTTTACATGAAATAGAAGCCTCACCTTTATCAGGGCAAGTCCCGCCACAGATCAGAACATCGGGTGGTGGACTTAAGGTACCATTAAGGGACATAAAGCATCAGTTACTTTGTTCGTGCAATATTAGTGCCAACAGCAGGCGCCATTTCCATCCAACTCAGGTACCAAAAAGGTCTTGGGCCACAAGTATGCGTTGCATTCTACCTCCTTCCACCAATCTCTTCCTCCGCATCCTATTTGTACTGGTCAGTGCCAGTAAAATCCCCATCATCAAGAAAGGCATTAATGAAGCCGGTGCTTCTATCAAACCTTTGAGCTTCTACATGATACAAAGCCAGACTCCACCGCTGGGTTCCTAACACACACAAACAACTTTTCCTACCCAAGAAAATGAAATAAATTGTGTTTAACAGTACATCTGATGTCCATTATTACCCCATCCAAAAGAAGTGATGCCAGGTAATATGACTCAGTGGGTATTTCTGAATCCTTTGTACATGAGGTCATTATGCAATTATCTTTGTTGTGAACAAGTTATTTCTAGATGCCTTTGTCAGAATAAAGGTCATAAGCTCCCCAGAATTAATTTCTTCCACTGCTCAAAAACAGGTTTATTGCTGGCTAGTTTTCAGGTTTGGTAGTTTTATTTACTGTACACATGTTATTTATGTTCATATGTTATGCACCTAACAGCTATAAGAGAACCAGATATCCAGCAGTATTTGTTTAGCTTTTCCTTGCCTCCCCATTGGCATGTTGGGAAAAGTTGTATTGGATGAATTTTTACATGCAACGTATTGGTTAAAGGCATAGGAGCACAGACAGGAGAAAATAAGAGAAATTCTCTCAAGAACACAAGAACTACCTTTCTGGTAAAGACCAGAATTCATATAATCTAATTCTGAAATTCCATCTCAACTATAGCCAGAAGGTAATTCTAGAAACTTCAGAAGAAGAGCGTAAAAGTAATGGCTATATTATTTTATCTGTCCTTCTTAAACTTCTAATCAGGTTTAATCAACATTTGGGATTTAGATTTGTAACAGGGTAGAACTTTATTTTCCTGGGCTCCAAGATCACCACAGATGGGGACTGCAGCCAAGAAATTAAAAGACGCTTGCTCCTGGGGAGGAAGGCTATGGCAAATCTAGACAGCATACTAAAAAGCAGAGACATCACCCTGCCAACAAAAGTGCATATAGTCAAGGCTATGGTTTTCCCAGTTGCAATGTATGGCTGTGAAAGTTGGACCATAAGGAAGGCTGAGCGCCAAAGGACTGAGGGCTTTGAATTGTGGTGCTGGAGGAGACTCCTGCGAGTCCCTTGGACCGCAAGGCAATCAAACCAGTCAGTCCTAGAGGAGATCAACCCTGACTGCTCTTGAGAAGGCCAGATCCTGAAGATGAAGCTCAAATACTTTGGCCACCTAATGAGAAGGAAGGACTCCTTGGAGAAGAGCCTGATGCTGGGAACAATAGATGGCAAAAGAAGGGGATGGCAGAGGATGAGGTGGCTAGATGGAGTCACTGAAGCAGTTGGTGTGAGCTTCGGTGGACTCTGGGAGATGGTGGAGGACAGGAGGGCCTGGAGGAATGTTGTCCATGGGGTCGCGATGGGTTGGACGCAACTTCACAACTAACAACTACAACAGGGTGGAACTGTTCTTTGATAGTGAAAAAGTTATTGTGCTAAATTTGAATTAGTATAATTTAAGCAAGTTGCAATCTCAGACTCTGTTCTGAATCTCTAAAATGCAAATAATATTTGCAGCAATCTCAAGATTGCTGCAGGGTAAAACAAGATAATGATTGTGAAACACTTTGCATGTTAGAATTTTTTAAGGTTCAAGGAAAAAAAGAGTAATTGGATAGAAGTGGGATGAGTAATCCAACTCAACAGAACAGGAGGACTCAAAATTTTTGACACACCTGAATGATCTGGTTATGCAGGTATCTGATAGGCTTCATAGAAGTCTAAAAATTCCAAGCTTCCATTATTTCTGCAGGAAAACGAAACTCATTTCTCATATTTTTAGCAGATTGCTAACAAACGTTTCTTATCTAGGGCAATAAAAAATGTGGTCTTAATGTGAGAGTCAGTGCTGGGAGTAGACATAATTAAACATCAAAAAGTCAATAATCAATTTCATGACATTAACTCAACTTCAAAAATACATTATAGGACACTTTCCCATCACTTATGTATTTATTGTGTATTTTAGGGCACAATCCTATTGCGATGCTTGGAAGCACCCAAGCTCTGGCTGTTGCATGCAGAGTAGGGGGAAGGATGGGGGCATTCTTAAGTTATCTGCCCTAAACGTTTTCCTAGTCAGGTTTTTTTTTTTGGCCATCCATCTGAAACATTTCAGAAGGAGCCTGGAGCGGCATCAGGATAGGTCAGATCTTGGTCTCTTTCCCTCTCTCTTCCTGACTTTGGAGATTCACTGCAGCGGTGAATGAAGGAGGGCAGAGTCTGAGCAGCCTCCAACCTCAGAACCAGGAATCTCAACAACTCTGTAACTCAGATACACCCCATCCAAATGTTTATATACCACTTATTTTAAACAGGCCAAAACAAGTTACGGAAACAATGCATCATTATCAGAACACAACAAGATTTGGACAAGTTGATGGCTTGGAGAAGCCAGGCTAAACAAGGATGGTTTTAATCAATTCCAGGGGTTTAAGGTTCACTCATTAAAAGCTAATATTGCACCCTGACTCTTACCGGGGATATCACGATAAAAGCATTCCAGAGGAATCGATCCATAAGTTTATCACACAAAAACAAACAAGTTTTGTGGCTTCTTAAAGACTAACAAATTGATGAAGGCTTGCTGACGTCCAAAGCTCATTTCCCTGGATGCATATAATACCTAAGAGGCTGAGTATCTACACCATGAATCATGGAGAGAAAATTATTATTTTTGAACAGAACAAGGCCAAAATGTCAAGCCATGCAAGAGATAAACATCTGACTCAAACCAAAGGCAACTATGAAATTAACATGAAAATTGGCACAGTAAAATTGGCCAAAAATGTGGGAGCAACTCTAAGAACCTATTAATAGAAGCTGAAAGAACAAGGATTTCCTGTTATCTTAATAACATAAACTGTGAGAGGTTGGCTAAATTTACATCCCTTATCATTATAACACCAAGGGTGGCAACTGCAACATATTTTTCCCCACAGCATAGAATTCCACAACCTCCTTTTCAAATTTTGCAGAGAACATTCAAAATGAACAAATATTATACCAATATCCATCCCCTTCCACTTTTTAACTAGCCAGAGGTTTCATAGGCAAAATAGAACTTTATCCAGTATATGAAGACTTCAGAGATCGCAAGTGTGTGATTTATACTCAAGGTGAGTTACTGAGGATAAACTAACATGGAAAGAACTACCAGAACCTGTCATGATTTTGTCTTTGGGGCATTCCTGTTTAAAAATGTTGAACCTCATGTTTGCTGAGACTGCCATGGAGGCTAATTTCAAAAAGACAGTGTTCAAGAAGCAAATTCCAGATGAAGGTGTGGGGAACACTATACGCTTCATTCCAACCAAAGTGACGCTCTCTCCCATCCCAGTTCCGATCATACTTCTCCTAACCTCCGGGGCACAGACTGTCTCAATTTTTACAAATGCCATCGGGGCAGTGGGTCTTTGTTGGGTCTTCTGGCTTCTGTGGATATATTTCTGGAAGAAGTTGGGTAAGGACAGGTACTGTGTTCTGCCAACTCTGCTTCTCTTTTTGGGCATGGAAGGAAGGAGAAGTCAAGTCAGTGTGACTCAGTTTCCCAACCTCCCTCCCTTCCATTGCACTGTAACAAAGATGAGATAGTAAGGAACTGGCTTTTAGGCATGATTTCAGCATTTTCAAGTCCAGCTTTTATTATGAGGTTTCGGGAGGTTTGTGTGCCTACACACTTACACATCACCCATCCATAAAACCTGAATCGAAAGACAGGCTGCTGCTGTTTCTGGAGGAAGTGGAACACCAACATGAAGGGTGCTTGGTTGGAAATGGCAAAGATGTCCATGTCCGGTGTTTAAAAAGCTACTTAATCATCAATGAGCATCGTGGCTATTAATTTTACTAGGGTCACAGGCTAATTTCCCTGGTTCAATCAAGATGATACCAACCACATTTAAAGGCCCACTGATTTGGAAGGATCTTTGCTGGCAGACGAAAAGTGGAGAGGGTATTGTTTTACACCAGGAATTTGTCTCAAGCATCAATCAGCGTCAGGGAATAGACTAAATGAGGAAAGGTTTAGTACAGGGGTGTCCAACCTTTCAGCTTCTCTGGGACACTCTACAAGAAGAATCGTCTTGGGCCACACATTAAATTCACAAATACTAACGAAAACTGATGAGCAAAAAAAAAAAAAAAAAAGTCTGCATAAATTTCATGATATCCACCACCACAGATAAGCAAAAAGGTCCTCACATAATAATCCTAAGAGAGCATATGTAAATATATTTTATGTGACACTGCAACACAATGTTGTCGTCTACAAAGTTCATGCTTGAGAACAGCCCAACCGAGTTATCAGGAAAAAAAATCGCAAAAAAATCTCATGATGTTTTAAGTAAGTTTACAATTTTGTGCTGGGCCACATTCATAGCCACCCTGGGCTGTGTGTGGCCCACAGGACACGGGTGGGGCACCCTGGTTTAGTATATACAGCAAAGAAGATGGACCTCCGTGCCTCATCGTGTGGGCCAGGGAGGTCCAACTTTTTGTATCTTGAGAACCGCATGAGGACCTCGACGTGGAGCCCTCTTGCGCGTGAGCCAATGAACACTTCCCAGCATGCCCTGCTTGGTTCTGCTGATGGGCGCAAAGGCGCTCTCTTCCTGGACCTCAGGATGGGGCAAAGGCCTTGCGAGAGCACACTGCACTCCTGCCCATGCCATCGCTGGGATCTGGACTGCAGGAGAGTGGTGGGCCCCAGGCAGTAAGAGGGCCACAGAGCAGGGCCTTGGGGGCCATATGCAGCCCACGGGCCGTGTGTCGGACCACCCTGCTCTGGACAATTTTATCCATAACTAAAATAAAAACAGGAATGTCCCACATATACCAGGTATAGATTTTGCATCTTTTCTGCATTTTGTCAGGGATACTTTCCCCAAGTTTATCTTGGCTCATGGTGGATCTTTTCAAGTTAATCTCTAATGAAGGAAAAGGTATCAAAGTCATAACCCCAAAAGAGTATTATTTAAAGAGCGTGTTTTTGTGAAGGTTATTCATTACCAACAGTCAATGGCCAGTATTACTGGGGTCATAGACTACTGATCGCTCCTTCTGCCCCACAGACTGTTGTGCCCCCCAGTGGCCTGGCAGTTTCTGGACATAGAGAATCCTATTCTACATCCATCAGAACAGGTCGTTACTGAGTTAAAGTGGGGAGACGCAAGTCCTCTTTCCCAAAACAATAAAGAGCAACAGCTAGCCTATATATATATATATATATATATATATATATATATATATATATATATATATATATATTATGGAATTCAAAGAGTTTATTCTATCACAAATCATAGTCACAAAGGCCTACTGTATAGAGTTCTTTTTTTTAAAGAAGATTTTCCAAAGCAGAATTATCATGTGACAGTGTAGAAAGCCAAGAATATACATGGAGAGCTTGAAAATTTGTTTCATGCTGCAGTGCAAAATTCTGTTATGTTGCAACTGAATTCTGCAGCATCCCATACCAGAATTAGTGCTTCTAGATTATATATTTAGTTCTTAAGCACATCTAATCAAGAAAATAACTATTCAGAAAAACAGAAGAAAAGTCAAGATGCGTCTTTCTGGGACTATTTTGAACATCAGAAAGCTCAATGCACAATTTCTTGATTAGCATTAAAGGTTATCTCATACCAATAAGATGACTGGTAAATTGGATACGCAGTACTTATAGAAGTACTAAGTGTACTTCTATATTCAAAATTTGCTCCTGAAAACACAATTTGATTAACAGTTCCAACCAAAGCTGGTTATTCCTTCCAGATTTCACTTCCATAAAACTCAACTTCTGTTCCTGGTAAACCTCAAGAAGCATATTTTTCTAAGCCAGAGGTACAGACACAAATGCAGACACACACTTACTGCTTTTTCTCCCTAAGGGATT